GCTCACCTCTCTACCCCCTCTCGCTCCTAAAAATTTCCCGTGTTCCTGCCTTTATTCCCAGTTGCTGATATCCTGCTGAGAATAATGCATCAGTTATTATCTCGGTAAATTTTGTCTCCTTGACAGGTACGATGTTTAGTATTGCCTCTGATATTGTATGTGTGTACTCACCTATTTGTATTCACCTATTTGTGGTTGCAGGGGTCGAGTCCTAGCTCCTGGCCCCGCCTCTTCACCGGTTGCTAATGGGCCCATCTCTCGTCCACGTCTCCATAAAGCTTTATCAAACCTCGTCTTAAAACTGTGTATGGTTCCTGCCTCCACTACGTCATTTTCTAGGCTATTCCACTGCCTTACAACTCTATGACTGAAGAAATACTTCCTACTATCTCTCTGACTCATTTTTATCTAGAGTCCTTTCTTTTACAAAGTTAAGGAGATCTTCACTATCAGACACTATACTAAAGTCTTTCTTAGCCGTAGTTACGATGGCCATCACAACTTCATATCGAACACTCTCTTCAGAGTCATGCTGTCTGAGTTTCAATGTATCTGTGATATCTTTACGTAACAGTGGATGATTTAATAAAAAGTGCATCGAATACTGCACACACTTGGTACGTATCTTAATGCTGATATCATTAAATCTTCCTAGAAAAGCTGTCCACAGCTGCCTGTGATTAAGTGCAAGAGTTGACTCTTTCTCAGAAAACATTCGTGCTAGCAAGGAAACTGATCCGTAACGCTCTTCTTCATCCGAACTCTTCAATTTAAACTCCAACTGCGGTAACACAGATAATAGGACTGAAGGACAGATGTGATTCAATTCATATATGAGGTCGTACACCTTCTGAGATATGGTCAGTGTCTTTTCTTCACGCCCCAATATTAAGACATGATTGAAGAATGCTTGAATATATGGTTCAAGAGTATCAGAACACTTCACAACTAATTCTTTTGCTAGATGATAGGCATTTTTCCGCTGAGATTTGGCTGGTTCCAGAACATTAGCTAATATTATGTCAAGGAGATCATTAGACACAACATCACTCTCATTGATGAGTGGACAGAGAACATCCAACATGAATGACTTCACCTTCCCGCTTGTGTTCATCATTGACAATGTTGAACATTAATTTGAAGAGTTTTTCAGAATATCTCTTGGCAATCTTCCAATTCAAAGCACATGTTGAAAGACTTGACATAAGCCAGGTTCTCAAGGAGGTAGAAGTAACGCTTGAAAGCTGGATCCTTGGGATCCTTCAACCCTCCAAGCTGTTTTATCAGGAACATGAAAAGTGTCTTCACTTGTGCAGGATCCCTTTTACGGTGCTTCTGGGGCAATAAACCCTCAAAACATCAGCGATGCAGCAGGCTATCAGCAGCTGCACATCACGACTCGGATAAGAGAGAAAGAAATCATCTGCTATGTGCATTGCCAGTGGCACATATTCCTGATAGGCACCATCATCCTGACCCATGGACTGCAATGTATGCGCCAGAGTCTTAAGCCGCCGGATAAGCTCATCTGGACCCACATCTTCCGTCACTTCCCTACAACCGGGAGGGTAGAGTATTGTCAGGTTGTCCCCACGACCCATTTTCACACCCTCTTTATGCCTCACCTCAAGTCTACAACTCCAGTGTTCCGTCCACGACTCGTCTGGCTGATGCTTCACATAGCACAAATATAATGATGCACATAAAAATAACGTGAAATAAGAGTAGCGAAGGTAATATGGCGCGAAAACGTGGAGGACAGCACTCCTTTCTTCCTGTGTGTGTGTGTGTGTGTGTGTGTGTGTGTGTGTGTGTGTGTGTGTGTGTGTGTGTGTGTGTGTGTGTGTGTTTGTGTGTTTGTACTCACCTAGTTGTACTCACCTAGTTGTGATTGCAGGGGTCGATTCACAGCTCCTGGCCCAGTCCCTTCACTGGTCGCTACTAGGTCACTCTTCCTACTCCATGAGGCTTATCATTCATCTTCTTAAAGCTATGTATGGATCCTGCCTCCACTACATCACTTTCCAGACTATTCCACTCCCTGACATCTCTGTGACTGGAGAAATACTTCCTAACATCCCTGTGATTCATCTGAGTCTTCAACTTCCAATTGTGACCCCTTGTTGCTATCTCCCATCTCTGGAACATCCTGTCTCTGTCTACCTTGATAATTCCTCTCAGTATTTTATATGTTGTTAATATATCCCCCCCATCTCTTCTGTCTTCCAGTGTGGTCAGATTGATTTCCCTTAACCTTTTCTCGTAGGACATGCGCCTCAGCTCTGAGACTAGTCTTGCTGCAAACCTATGCACTTTCTCTAATTTCTTTACGTGCTTGGCTAGGTGTGGGTTCCAAATTGGTGCCGCATACTCCAATATGGGCCTAACGTACACGGTGTACAGGGTCCTGAACGATTCCTTATTGAGATGTCGGAATGTTATTCTTAGGTTTGCTAGGCGCCTATATGCTGGAGCAGTTATTTGGTTAATGTGCGCCTCA